TGTGCTTCTATGAACGTGAAATCGGTCGTTTTAATACCGAAATAAAGAAAAGAAAACGAGCCAAAACGGCTGGAACACTGAACACTAAGAACTGTAGTACGATCGAATCAGCGCGCGTGGCGCAAGCTTAAAGCAATCAAGACAACTTAACGATCAAGACAGTAAAAAAAAAATAGCCGTACATCTACAAAGGTGAACGATTCGAAAAAGACGCAATCCCTGATGTGCGTACTCAGTGCCACACAAAAAGCAAATTCTCATGAAAAACTGGCATTTAATAGAAACACAACCACTACTGAGCGAACTATACAGAAAACCCGCCACTCGTATCTTACAAAAGAGGGCGGTCGCTCAAAGCATAGTTAGTGAGGGCTAAACTTTGAATATGCTACTCTAAACACACGCTGGGGAGTCGTGTAGGTCTGTCAACCCCATTTTACGTCACCATTTTCCTCTTCGCTACTGGAGACAACTTCGTTTCGTTCAGAAGAAGATTCACTTGACAAAACTTCAATATCTGCCATCTCCTTCGCCCACGAATACAAACAAACAGTGGGTGAAATAAACCACGCTATCGGAGTGAACACAACTAGTGACGTCATCAATCCATTTCGCTCGGTACCAGAGCCCGGACATGGTTTTGTGTAATTTTCTTTTATTTGAACGGTTAAAAAAGATATATTTCGCCTCATTTTGGCCAAAGCAAATTATCTCATGATGATCACCATATTCAAAACTACAGGTTAGAGCAAAAATTTCACATACGAAAATTTCGTTTCAGTAGCACTTTAAAAGATGATTCTTTCCCAATTTCGCGATCAAAATCTGGCTCCGTATTAAAAGAACAATCCCCATTACTAAATGGCAAGGAGCATAGCGAGCATTTCCAATCCATGACCTGCTTATCTGAGTAGCTTTTAAACATCACTCTTTTAAGTTCAGGCATTTAGTGTACGAGAAGGAATTACACTGAACACACCGTAGGGAATCTTGGTTCTGTCCTGGTGTACCGGTTCACAAGGGAATTACCATTGTTCTTTCTTTGTTTAGGAGTTATCGGTTAGCTATTGTGTATTGTTTGGTCTTTTGTATTGGCTCTTGTGAACCGGTACGCGAGGACAGAAGCGGAATCTTGATTGGAACGCACGCATTCTATATAATAATTTCGATCAGAAACCACTATGTGAGAAAATCCAAAATCCTTAGCTATTTTTATTAGCAAGTAGGGAATGACAGGGCAGTACACCTGGAATGGAAGGCTGAGTTCAATGCTGTAGAATGACTCTGCGAAACAGTAACAACATTTTGCACTGTGGCAGAGGCCACCATATCATTCGGGTGCTAACAATTATTGTATGTGGTTCTCTCGCAGTTCGTGCACCGCGATCTAGCGGCGAGAAACATTTTAGTCGATGCCAATTTGGTAGCTAAAGTCGGAGACTTTGGATTAGCCAGGGACATATCCGAAGCTGGAATATACACCATAACCTCCAGCGTAAGTGCTCTTTCCAATCAATATCGAAGGGTGCAAAAATGCAAATGAACAAACTATAATGCATGATGTTTATGCTCTTCCGTAGCATTAATTAGCAAACATCCTAAACATAATTCCTTCCAGCGTATGTTTTCGTGATTAAACTCCCCCAAAGCCCCTTTACATCTTAAGGGCGGCTGGGGAGCAATCTTTAGCTATTTGTCTATTTTTCTTTTAACGAGCTGAAAAAGGATAACTTTAACAATTGTGATAATGATGGCACAATGATAAAAAATATTAACACCTACACTTACATCAAAACTGACATTAACACTAGTTATAATACTAATATGATGATAGTAATTATATTTAATTCTAACGGTAATAATGATCATGACAATAAGATACTCAACATCACTGCCAAAACCTGGATTTACTGTAAGTCAGTGATCATCGTTATCAACAAGAGGAATTCTTAAGAGTGGTCGTCTGTAAAAAATTAGCAGAGGTGTTGAAAATAAAAAAATTGAAATTTTTTCAAACTTTGCCAGAACATAGCCATGAATGGCCTTAGTTGCAGAAAAATATCAAAAATGCCGAAAAAAAATTATTTTGGGAGAACGGTGGCATCTTCTGTTTTGGGGTTCGCAACCGCGCTTTTCCGGTGAAGTAGTGCACCTCAAGATACCGGACGAGAAATATTTATTTCGACAGCAATTCGGAAACCACATAACAATTCTTAAACAAGACTATTATTCACCTTATTTCATGCTACCATTTCTCGCCACTGCAGTGCGATTTGATGGTATGTGAATGCGTTACACGCAGGGAGCTCAGGAGCCTGAGAATGTTTATCTTCGCCTTCCTCTTTCTTGCTAACCTTTTTTTTAAATTTCTTCGTTTGCTAAAAATTGCGACATGCAGCTTCTCCGAGCTCGTTGGTGGTTCTTGTAGTTCCCGCAAAACCAGTGGAGAAAGTAAATGCATATTCATAACTAAGTGCAAAATAGACATCCAAGGTCATCTCAAATGATATAAATGTCATAATGCTCAGCTGGAAAGTGAGTTCATTCTTCTTCTCGTCAGAGCAGGTAAATATCTCATTATCAAAAATGTCAACAATGTTTAGCCAAGGCAAATACTGTATCCCTCTTTGTCCTGCTTTTATATTTTGCACTAAGATCAATGAGGTCATATCGTGACACAGTTCAATGGCCCGGATTTTATCTTTGCTTTAAGATTTATTTCTTGAATCCACGTAAACGCTTGAATCCAAGACAACAGGGTGCCAGTCAGCCTTATATGTTTTCATGAAATATAAAGCCTCGTTCATAGAGACGACTTTGGAACCAGATTGCTATGCAATAAAAAAGAAATGCTCCTGTCCATCGGATTGGGCTTTACATGGGAAGTCTTCACGGAAAGGTGATCGAGGCATGACTCTGCAATAGTCTTAGAAGCTTTATGCTTTAACATCTACACTTGTTCCAGTGGGGTCACATGAGTATACATCAGAATTCCATCCTGATCGCCACGATGATTTTTCCAAAAAAAATATGTAGCTGTAATTTGATTTCAGCTATTTATAAAAGATGCCGTCTTGAGCTTGATCAAGTTGCAACGAATAACTCGAGTCGTCTCCATGTCTGGGACAAATTGAAAGTTCTTTATTGCTTTCCTCGACTTCAAATATACCTGAAAAAGCGAAATCGTTTACTTGTTCACTCAGAATGATATAAAATTTCAAATCTTGGGAACTTAGTTTGGAGTAAAGGGTCAAGCGTAATTCAGTACAAGCCCTGGCCCTCCCCCAGACCCATTTCGTAAAATAATGTAAATATAATGGGTATAATTTCCAGTGTATATCATATGTATACTTATTAAATAAATGAAGGAGTGGATAAATAAAAGAATAAATAAATAAATGAAGGAATGAAAGAAGGAAGGAATGGATAGATAGAGAATAAATAAATTGTAAGCATGGACCAATGCTTCAAATTTCATGACAACATATAAGGCTGACTGGCATCCTGTTGCCTTGCATTCAAGCGTTTACGTGGATTCAAGAAATAAATCTTAAAGCAAAGATAAAATCCGGGCCATTGAACTGTGTCACGATATGAACTCATTGATCTTGGTTCAAAATATAAAAGCAGGACAAAGAGGGATACATTATTTGCGTTGGCTAAACATTCTTGACATTTTTGATAATGAGATATTTACCTGCTCTGGCGAAAAGAAGAATGAACTCACTTTCCAGCTGAGCATCATGGCATTTGTATCATGTAAGATGACCTTGGATGTCTCTTTTGCACTTAGTTATGACTATGCATTTACTTTCTCCACTGGTTTTGCTGGAACTAGAAGAACCACCAACAAGCTCGGAAAAGCTGCATGTCGCCATTTTAGCAAACGAAGCAATTTCAAATAAAAAGGCGAAGATAAGCATTCTCACGCTCATGGGCTTCCTGTATGTAACGCAATCACATACCATCAATCGCACTGCAGTGGCGAGAAATTATAGTTTAGTTCAGTCATTTTCCTGCATTAACCGCAATGGGAAGGACTAGAACAGGAACATGAATCCCCTTCAAGCTAGTCCACCCAAATTATAACCCAGCCATACCACCTCAGGGGAGGACATCCATCACACCGTAATTTCGTGCGCGGGAAATTAACGTTTCTTGCCCCCTTACCCTGCAAGAGACGGGACCTCCTATCCGGGAAGACGAAGCAATGTGAGTAAAACGTCTTTCTTAAGGACACATCGTTAAGCCCCAGCCAGGACATGAACCTGGGCCGTCTGACCCAGAGTAGTGGACTACTTACGCCTCACAGGGATAAGTTTTGAAAACGGTGGAACGGGCTAAAGTGCATACCCTTGGCATTGAAACCACTTCTAAAGCGGCCAGTGTAAAGCGCAGACTGCGGACTTCAGACTGCGGAATTCAGACCGGGGGTAAAATGCAGACTGAGGTTAAAATGCAGACTGCAGACTGCAGTCCAGGGATAAAATGCAGACTGAGGGTAAAATAATAATAAAAAAATGAGTCATAAGGATGAAATAAAGTGTGTTGTACCCGTAAATTAATATACCGTCAGGATTCACTAAACACATAAAGGCCGCTTCAAGCTGTATAAAAGTCACGTCTTCCCCAAATCACATGGCACTATAAAATGTCGGAAAACGAGGACGACGATCTCATGGTAATTTTCGATAATTTGCGTGAATGTCTTTCACAGACTATGCTCGATACCTACAACTTTACCTTGCCTTGTTGTTGTGCTGTCGTGTTTTGCTTGCCTTGTCTTCCAAACAATTCCAAGGCCATATGAAGAGTTTGAACGCCGAAAGAGTACTCGGTCCCAGACCTATTCGCGAAAGCGCAATTCAAAATGGCCGACATGTAAACAAAGGTAAGATGCATAGCATTACGATCAGTTTGGGCGCTTTTGGGAAACTTGGTTGAACAAAATTGGGAGTTCAAGAACTCGAGGTTGATAATATGTTTGACTAAGGCGAATAAACGCCTCTTGGTTTGAGTTTTCGGGATTTTGAAAACAAATAACGGGTACGGGTAGGAACACTCCAAAGTCTTGTTTTTTATTATGCATATTTTATTTTACCCTCAGTCTGTATTTTAACCCTGGTCTGCAGTCTGCATTTTACCCCTGGTCTGCAGTCCGCAGTCTGCATTTTACCCCTGGCCTGCAGTCCGCAGTCTGCAGTCCGCAGTCTTCGTTTTACACTGACCGACTTCTAAAGGTAACATTCTGTGTAATTATAGCCTGGGCAATTCCTTCTGACGTTAACAAAGTTTTTGTTATTGTTGGGTTGGTATTAGTTGCGAATATGGCCATTGTGACAACATAAACCAACAATTTGCATATAGTAGACTATTGAAAATTGCCCAGATTGCCTTGACTTTTTGGCTTCATGAGAAAACTATATGTATATTGAACACGAAGGAGACCTGATTCGAAGGTTTTGTATGATATAAGAGGGAATTCGAGTGTTTTGATAATGTTTTTCTTAATGTGACGTGCAAGTCACGTTGGTCACATAACGCGCTTCTTGAGCTCAAATACACTTATATAAATCGCTCTAAAAATTCGTAGTTTAAGTAGCCCAAAAATTTTATTGCAGTTTCTAAGAGAAGAAACCTTGATCTTGACAATGGTTATTGTCTCAGTTTATGGAGCCAGGTAACAATGGTCGATTTTTGTCGCCAGAGTTGAGCTATGTTTTGATGGGTGAAATTTTATCTGAAATAGAAAATTCGTAAAAAAATGGTTTTTTAAGGAATCTTGGAAAAAGTACTTCAGAACCTTTGAGAAACATCTCTTGGTTTAGAATTAGATAGATAAGATCTTTTTTGACTTGGAAAAAATAAAAGAAACACGTCCAGAGACAAAACGTCTGGACTTCCAATTTCCTACATATATCAATTCATTAAGGTCGGCACACACGAGGGGACTAGTCCCTGCGACTAGTCCCAGCGACCAGTTTCATGCGACTAGTCCCTTCGTGTGAACTACACATTTCTGTGGTCGCAGGGACTTGTCGCATGAAACAAATGTTTGTCCCTTCGTGTGAACTGTTTGTGCGACCAGTCCCTGCGACTAAACGGTAAATAAGCCAATCACGGGTCAGTAGGATGCGTGACCTCTGGTATTTGTAAACATTGCAGTTTCTATGAATTTTCCCTGACTTCTAGATTTCTACAACTGAAGAATAAAAAACTCTTTCTACTTTTGTAAACATATACAGATGTCTTGGAGCCGTTTTGATGGAATTTTTACCCTATTTGACTCTGTGTCTGTTAAAAATAATAATAATAAAAAAAAAACGGAACACGTAAAAGCATGAATAATCCGACTGAATAAGTGTAGTTCGTTTGCGTTGATGTTTAATAGTGCTACAATGAAAAGTTACCAAATTTTAATTGTTTTCGGGTAACGCTCCAGACTAAGAAACATCTTTTGCCTCTTAATTTTCCTATGTTCTTGTGCAATTGAGTGCCCCCGTGAGAACGCCTTAAGGGACTAGTCCCTGCTACTGGTCCCCTCGTGTAAACCCTTCAAAGACTTGTCGCCGGGACTAGTCGCACGGACTAGTCGCAGGGACTAGTCCCCTCGTGTGTGCCGACCTTTATGTATATACAAGACTAAGTGGCTACACAAATTCGAAAAGACATCTATTAAAAAAGCAACGTTTAAAACTTTCGGTTCTAAGAGGCAGGATGTAATTATGTCCTCTTTTCCTGAGGCACATATTTCTCTGAGCTGGTAAAAGTGCAAGCAATGGATTTGCGCTGTCAGAGGTTATCTCGTCCCAAAGAAACCTGTCTTTCATTCTAATTACATCCATCATGGGAGTGTATTTTCTGGTGTAACCATAACGTAAAGCTCGCTTACAGAACTTATCAATATGAGAGAGATATTTACTGTAGTGGGCAGAGGCCCACACCTCAATTGCGTAAGCAAAAAGTGACCTAATTAGACTGTCAAACAGCAGTGTAAGTTCTTGTAAAGAAAAGCCGTAGTATTTGCAGACTCTGAGGATGTACAGTCTAGAAGTTGCTTTGCTGAGCATGTTTTCAAATTGAACGTCCCAGTTACATGGATCTTCGTTTACTGTAACTGCTAGCAGCTTTAGTTCGCTTTTTCTGGTAATTCCGTCCACGGGCTCTGGAAGGGGCATTGTGGTTTTACCTTTAACAACCATCTCAAAGGTTTTCTTCATGTTTAGTGTCATCAGGTTTTTGTCCGCCCAACGTTTGATATTTTCTACTTCATAATGTGATAAATCTTTAAGATTAGGGCCAGTGGTAACATGCACACTTGCTGTAATATCATCAGCATATTTAATCAGTGGGGTTTGGGGGCTGACCGGTTTAATATCATTCACCATGATAGAGAAAAGTAAGGGTCCAAGCACAGTTCCCCGGGGAACTCCTCTATTAACGTTGAGAAAAGTGGTAACCACTCCATCAACTACTACTCTCTGTCGGCGATCACACAGGAAGCTTATTATCCAGTTCTTGATGTATGGATTGATGTCATACGACACCATCTTGCTGAATAGAATGCGATGGGAGATTGAATCAAAAGCCTTACTGAAATCGAATGAGAAGGCTCTTACAAAAGCCACATCTCGGTCTAGTCGCTCAAGCCAAAAGTGTAGGTACTTAATAAGGGCCATAGTTGTGTTGTGCCCCTTCTTATATGCGAATTGGTCAGTTCCGATCGCAGACTTGAGGATAGGAGATACTTCTTGTTTACAGATGAGACGCTCAAAAATTCCCATTATGATGTTGGTTAATGAGATCGGTCTAAGCTGATTGCATTCAGTCAGAGGAGATACCTTAGGGATGGGCGAGACGTTTGCTAATTTCCACAGAGATGGGAAGGTTTGATGCCTAAGTAAGCAGTTAAAAATTTTGGTGATCACGGGTGCAAGATGGTGAGAGAAATCGCGCCAAAACCAATAAGGAAACTATGTGGTTTCCGAATTTCTGTCGAATAAACTTTTCTGGGCCGTTATCTTGAGGTGCACTATTCCACCGGGAAAACACGGTTACGAACCCCCAAACACCAAATCCCACCGTTCTCACAAAAGAATTTTTTTCCGCATTTTTGATATTTTTCCGTAACTAAGGCCATTCATAGCTGTGTTCTGGAAAAGTTTGAAAAAAATTATTTTTTTTTTTATTTTCAACACCTCTGCTCGATTTTTATAGACGACCGCTCTTAAATTCATTTGGATAATCATAATCATAGCCTTTGAATACATAAGTAGATAACGCTCTTTCTCTCAGTGAAAGCGTCTTTGGGATAGTTTGGTGAGTCGTTCTCCGACTATTTTCGAGTTACATCGCCGGTTTACAAACATTTGTACACGTGGCTCTTTCTTTTCAACAGGGCAGTTTACCGTGGAGATGGTCATCGCTAGAATCTCTACGAGATCTAAGTTTTACATCCGCGAGTGATGTGTAAGTTCCATTTTGTAGGGTTATACTGTAAGCAAACTTACGTTGACTGCCCTTCCACAACTTACTTGCGTTTCGTCCAAAATTAAACCTTTATGATCGCCTAGAATTTTGTTCCTTTATTCTGCTTTCTTTGTTCGTCTGCATTTATCTATACCCACAATACTGTTAGCTTTTAGTTTTGACACATTGTGAGAGTACTAAGAATCTAAATAACTATCTCTTTCCAATCGAGCATCTGTAGCACATATAGGTTGTTTAAATTTGACACTACATGAAATAGAGAAAACGGAAAAAACAACAACGATAATCTACACATTGAAGTCAGAAGAGTGAAAAAATCATGCTCAACTGCGCGCGATCCGTATAATAGGGATACCTCGACGAGCTATCTAGAAATATAAATGAAACGCTCAGCTATAATATTTCCTTATTCAATAAAATTATTAAGGCCTTAGCTCTTATCTGCAGGTGGTCATTTGGTATTGTCTTGTGGGAAATCGCCACTTATGGTAAGTGTCGTGTGATGCTACTTGAAGCGACACCTTAAGGGGCACAAAATTTTTTTTTGTCATGAGGCTCCCATCAGTGTCAGCAAGGCTCCTTATCTTAAGCTTGCTTTTATTATAAAGATCTTTATGGACAAAGGTGTTTTTGAAAACTTGACATTACTAATCAGACAAAACTGAACAAGATCAGAGGGCTGCTTGGTGCCCAGGTATAGAATGAGACCTTGCTGCAAATATCATTTGTCACAAGGCTTGGTTTCTAATTAGCAACTGAGGCAGTCTTTTTCAGGTCTCTACTTTTTTCATATATTTACTGGTAAAATAATCATTGCCTAAGAGTGTTGTTTTGTTTGTTGTTTTATTTCTTTAAACTATAATTGTTAAATCACATTTTCTTACTACCAACTAGGTGGACTGCCATATCCCGATATCACATCACCACTTGCCCTAGTAAGTCAACTTGCGGCAGGATACCGGATGCCTCGTCCCAACCAATGCTCACGAGAGCTGTAAGCTTCAAAATTATTCTATTAAGCTTGTAGTGATAATTTGTGGAAGGTTTCAAAAGGATAGAACGTTTACTTGCTTTATTTTACAAATAATTATCACTGTTCTGGATCTTTTTCTTTTTTTGAAGATGAATAGCGAGGAAGAAGCCCTTGTTGGGAATCAAATTAGTGCATTAATTTAAACCAATCGTTACACTTTTAAGACTTGTTGCATGTCACACATGATGTCAATAAACATTTCAATGATCCAGATTAAAAGATAAGGTGTAACATTAAGAGGGCACCTCTCCCGGCAGCCCCTGTATTTCATATGTGTAATTACACCTATGACTTTCGCCGGCTCGAAAAAATATTGCGTTACTTCTGATTTCCTCCAAATTTAGTGTGTGTGACGTTGAAATATTAAACAAATCCCGTACGAAGTTTGCGAGTAGACGCTTGAATGTAACGTACACAACGCTCATTTCAAATTTCAATTTTCACCCGAGAAGAGGGCATTGTTCGCCGAACGAGCGCGTGTGAGTAATATCTCTGCCGAAACGATACTGGAAGAGCTATTTAATGATAAAAACTTCGCTGATGGGATGGAAAGTGGATAAAAATCAAGTGATTTGGACCGGTAGCTAGCAAACGAGAGTCGAGAATCGAGGTAAGAAGTCGAAATCGTCATTGCGAAATCGTCGCCATCGACCGCGTGGTCTTGAAATTCGAAGTTGTTCGTCTCAGGTGTAATCGATACCTCGTTCAAACGGCGATAACCATGGCATTGCATCTTTTGAATTTTTAAATTTTTTCGAATGATGTGAGCGCAAATAAGAATTTGTAAAAGAAACAGTATTTATTATTTTTCTTTCAAATTTTCAGGACATATTGCTAACATGTTTGTGCTATTAATCAATTTGTGCTATAATGAATCAATTTGTGCTATTAATGAATCAATTTGTGCTATTAATCAATTTGTGCTATTAATTAGTCTGCCATCTCCTGTGCTAATGAGGATAAGGGACTTTTACCTCGAGTTTTTCACTATTATTTTGCTTCTTTTGTGTTTAAAATTTATTTTTTCAGGAAAGTCCTTAGTTTTAATTATAAAATCTATATATTCCTGAGAATTTCATTTTATACACTTTAAAATGAGTTGTCTTAGGTGTCATTTCAGTAAATATTTGTTAAGATATTAAATAAAAACTGAATGTCAGCAATATTTGCGTTTTTCTGCTGGTTGGTTACTAAGCCGGGGGAGAGCTACACCCCTTTCCAGTCTTGTTACGGTAAATTTAGATGCTAAAGGTATCATTTACAGAAGGATATTTGTTAACATGCTGCATTGGATTTTTAGATATGAACTGATGAGCTCTTGCTGGAAAGAAAATCCTTTGATGAGACCAACATTTTATGAGATTACAAAGCAACTGAAGAATCTTTTGCGAGAGGTTAAGGTAATCGATCCATCCCCGCCTCCATGCCTCTATGCCTCCATGCCTCCATGCCTCCATGCCTCCATGCCTCCATGCCTCCATGCCTCCATCAATCCATTCTTCCTGTCATCTGTTTGTGCTTCCATCTTTCATCTATCTATCCAGAATCTATCCATTGCGTTCTTTCTTTACCGTATTTTGGACTTCATTCTCTACTTCAGTTTAATTCATAATCAACCACTGTTCTCAGTCGTATTCAATGTTCTTAAATAGTGAATGACTGATTCGTTATTTCCTTAATCTCTTGCAGAGAACGTATATCAACATCACAGAAGACAACAACTGAGAAGTTTGATGATGCTCTAATATTAAAACAAACTCGTACACTTCATTTTATTACACTCAATGATATAACAACCACGATATGCAGAATGCATCAATTATGCTTCAAAATTTTTTTTCTGAAATTGAGTAAGATATCGCAGTTACTTAACAAGACTATCTTAGCGTGGATTATTGGATTTACTTGGGAAAAAACCAAAGCATTTATTCTTTTAGTCTACAAGCAAGCCCTCCTTGTCAGCGTCTGTGTCACGAGAAGGTTTGAGGTCTTGAGCGAAGCTGCCCGGCGAGATGTCTGTACTGGTTTGTTCTGTGCCTCTCTCTTCGCCGACTTGTCGTCAGTTCGCTTGCTCAAGCCCTCAAACTTTCCCGCGAGCGAGGAAACGCTTGTGCCATAGCGATATTGACGAAGGACTACTCGCTGGCTGTTATCTGTCAAAACTAATCTATCTGTGGTTGTCCAATACATTTCCACTTTTGGAATTGCCAAGTTAGGTAAAAAATAACCCGGTATGGTGCTCTCACTTAAAATAAATATGTTTGTTGACTCAACTCAATTTTGCCGAATGTCACGATCTCAAACACATCTTTGTATTAGACTTTCAAAGTTCCCTGCCTTCTATAGAAATAATTTTACGGACGTTTGGCTATGAGGAAAAACTCGAAGAAAAGAGACTTCCCAGGACCGACTAGCGGTCCAGACTCGTGTCAATATATCCAAAGTACGTAGGATGCTGGATCCTCGTAGTAGAGAGCGCTATTTATGCAGGTCAGTGGTTCGAATCCCGTACAGGCCTGATTTTTTCCAGGTCTGGTTTTCGCTATTGCATAAATAGCGCTCTCTACTGCGAGGATCGTGCATCATACGTATCTATAACCGCAGTGCAAAATATATGAACTTCATACATTCATCGTATCTGATATCCAATGTAACTATGTGAAAATCGTCTCGATCCTTGACCTTTCTGGAGTCATCTTTAAAATCAGATATGTTTAATGAGATTTCAGCCGGATTGCTTACGTTACAATATGTAAATTGACCCTACGTCGAACAGAATTTTGATAAGTACAGGATTGCTTCATTGCTTCTCGTCTACTCATTTTGTTTCTGTTGCCTTGTTTCATTGCTTGCCTGTTTCTGTTTCTGTTTCGAAAGCTTATGACCAAAGATATTTTGAAAGTGAGTGTAAATCATCAATATAGGATAAACCGCGCTCTGTGCTGTAAAGCCTTGGCAACCATGTTGAAACAGTAACAAATAGCCTAGTTTCGATAAATTTCAGCGTGACAGACTTGTGACGAAACTCCAACACCGAAGCGAGGCTCATAGGATTACGGCGCGAATGATGAAAACAAACACACCACTGCAAACACTGCAGGGAGACCTGTGTGGGTTTGATAAATCGAGAATTCTCGGCGTTTTTTTGTTTTTTGTTTTTTGGTCCATTGCAGTTTATTTTCGCGTGTGCCATGGTCAAGTACTGTGCTATTGTTATTTGCTGTAATGGGAGTATTTATAAGAAAAGACAAGATCTCGGTTATTGTTGCTTTCCTTCAAGGCTCAATAAGCGTAAGAAGTCTCGGCGATCCAAGAACTGATCATTGCATTTTAAGGAAAGCGACATCGAGATTTCAATTCCTGGTCGAAAAAGTGCACGTTCAGACAGCTATCCGACTATTTTTAACCCAACGAAATCTACGAATTCTGTTAGTTCGCGTTCGAAGCGTCTTGCCGATAGGAAGAGACAGCGTGATGAACAACCGCAAGCCAAGGTTTGTCCCAGAAAGCTCGATTTTGAGGACTCCATAGAGACTTGCGTGGATTTTAGTACTGGTGCAGCTTCAGTAAACCGTGATCACTTGTACTTTTGCATCCAGGAACAGGTAACACCGAAAAGTAACACGAATGGTTCTGATACTACGATTCCGAAAGGTAAACTTCTTACGGCGTCATGGACTTGTGGGTCCAGAATATGTCCATCTTTGAACAGTTTATAACCCGCAACGCTAGATTTACTCGCTCTTTCTCATGGCGTGTACTAAATCCAGTAAGATTTGAGCAACAGAACGCCGAAGCACGAGAGAACCGAAATATGCCAGAAAAAAGTGCTTGCCGATATTTTCTTATGAGTGAAAATCAATTTGATGTCTAGGAATAAGAAAAGTTTCAGTGAAGCCTTTATCAAGATGAAAAATTTAAAGCTCGTCATAAAACAAGAAAAACTGCTCAGTTTGCCTACAAAACGGTATGTTATGACAATCGAACTATAGAATTGGTAACACCAGAACACGTAGGACTACGCTGGAACACCGGAAAAACAACTGAGCACCAGAACACTGGAACACCACAAAGCCGGAACATCACAAACAGAAACATTGGAACATACCGGAAAATGCCAGAACATGCCAAAACATAAAAGAGTATGCTTGAACATGCCGGAACACCGCAAAATATTATAGTAATCATGAAAACAATGATAAATATATTGCATTCGACGAAGGAGAACATATACTATTCATACCGTTTATCAGTCCTCAGAGGTTTGTGGTAGCCTGTGGGTATCGATCAGAAGCCAAATCGTCTCAGCTTTCTACTTTGTCACTGTCTTGTACTGACTTAATAAACACAAAGCCTCGATTTCATGAGAAAACTTTGAATCTCGCTGGCTTATGATATGCCGATGTGAAGATACGGTACATAAATTGCACCCACTTGATCGAAAAAAATGCTCCGAGCATTATTCCACATTAGCAGTTATTATTTTTATCTCCCGTCAATCTAGTCAGCAAACTAGCGCGACGTCACGCAGAACTTCGATCCCGTTTCAGTAGAGACACGCGGGTTCCGTGATAAAAAGAAAATTGATATAAGGAAAATGAGGTAAGCTAGTGTCCGTTTTCCGAAAAAGAAAAGGCACTTCTTGCTATCGATGAACTAACTATTTGGAAAGTATAAAAAAATTATTCTTTCAACTCCCATCGTTAATACGGTCTCCAAACGGAAGCATGTATATGATGCATACAAAAAAAAACAAAAAAAAAAGCAACAACAACAACAAAAAACCGGAGAGGTCAACTTGTGGTTTATATAACAATAATGACAAACGAATGACAACTTTGAAGTTTACCGTCGACGCGTTTCAGAGGACAACTCATGTAAAAAATTATTTCGATAATTCCTATCTCTATTTTTCCGGATAGCCAGGCTATTAAATTTTCACTTCTTATAATCTAAATTTGTGGACAGGGGAATCTTTAAATTTCAATGACTGTCTTACATCCATGAATAAATCCTTTCTGGTGCACTGAAAGCTCATGGAATTGAATGGCGTCAAAATGTCTTCGCCTCCAAATAATAATAGATGTCAAAGATAACGGGAGACAATTCTTTATAATCGTGACTTTTTGCCACTTGATAGGCTAAACATGTCGAGGTTCAAGAACACCGTCTCGTGATGTAATCAATTCTACGTTAATCTGAGATCTTTAAGCTTGCCAAAACACTTTACCCGTATCGGAACACAGCAATTAATTTTGGATTGACAGTCAAGGCTAAGACCCCCGGGATAAAACTGCTGTCATCGATAGTGAATGAGTTTCAGACAGCTCTATTAGGCGTCATGGTTAGAAGGAGGAACTGTGATCACGCACTCGCATTATTTTGAGTCTGCCAGTTTAATTTACATCAATACTTTGGACCTCTTATTTAGCAATTTCGTTATTGGATGTTTGAATAATAGGCTGCATAAAGTAATGTAAAATACCAGTCGCAGGAGGTACAAGGTTCGAATTGATAAAAAAAAATATAAATGACAACTAAACTTAACACTGCTTGGAAACAAAACAACCATCTGAACAAAGCTAAAACCGAAGCAAAGTCTAAGCTTTACCAACTTTGAATTTTCTCATAGATATTATTACAACGAAACTTCAGTTGTATACAAATGTAGGTTCTAGCGAATCCGACTGTTGTTTGCATTTTGAAGTTTCGTCGCTGTTTGTTGTATATATTTTTGTTAATGATAAGGATTTCGACAAAGCGAAATGAAGTTACAAGCAAAATATCATTCTCTCATCTACTGAAATATCGGCAGGCTTGGCTTTACTGAAAGCAGGTTTATCAGCATTGTAAGATCCTCCCAATAAATTTCGGTCTACAAGTTTCATTAAAGGTTTTTGTACAGTATTTGACGCCCTCATCACGGGTTTATTTTCTGACGAGACAGAAGCACTTTTCAGTTTCCCTGCTGCTTAGACTGCCAGTTAGAAGTGTTTTGACCCCTGTTTTGATAAAAAATTTTGTCTTACACCTCCACGACGAAAATTCCTAATATCAGGTTTTCAACGACAAAAATAATAAGTATGTCCTTTTCGACCACAATTATAGCAAAAAGGCACCGCCAAAACGAGACCGGGAACTCCATGGCTGTAAATTCTGGTGTGAGCGCTGATTATAACCACTGGGTCTGTTATTGATATTGCTTCCCATTAATCCGCGAAATTCGTCTCTAATAATTTGCTTCATCTCAGACTTGCTCATCTGAGGGTTTTGATCTGAAGCTGGACCCACAGCACTAATTGACTAATCGTTAGGGTTGATTGCTTTTGAGAGTTCTTCCAAAATTTGCGCTGATACTTCCTTAGGGTTAAAGTCTGCGCGTTTACTCGACCCTTCCAATACTGACTCTTTTAGCTTAGCGAGGTTTTCTGCCGATTCCAAATTTTCAGGTTGTTGCAAAACAAAGTGCTCGCCAGTCTCGGGAATGAGTCCCTGGACAAAGTAGTGTGTCCACTCAGAATTGGGCAAATTAATTCTCGAAAAATGTGTTCGAAGGCTATAAGCATAATCTGCAACCGATTCTTTCTCTAGTTGTCGTCGTTGGCCTAGCGCCTGTCTTACGCGCCACTCACTAGCACCGGAGGCAAAATGCGTGACTAATATCTCAGACAATTCTTCGAAAGACATCTCGTCGACCCTTGGAAAAGTTTTAAACCAAGCGCTAGCGTAGGCCTTTAAATAAAGAGGAAGCCCTAATGCTAAACTATCGTTGTCCCAACCATTTAGTCTACCGGCCCTCTTATAATTCCTAACAAATTTATGAGCGTCTTCGGATTCGTCGCCTCTAAAAATTGCAAACGTAACTGGTGATTTAACACCGCCGTTTCTATTTTGTGAATTAAACGAAGCTTGCATTCGTTCGACTGCTTGGCATAACTGACTAACTTCTCTTCCACTTCTGCATAGGCTGGTGCTAGAGACAATTGTGATGAGTCCAAAGAATTATGTCGACTATCAACAACCGAGTCATTACGAGCTTCGAGAGAATCTTCGCTTACATTTTCACGATCGGAAGGATTTTCTCTGGTCTTGCCGCTCTCATAAATAAGATCTTCTTCGGAGTCAGAACTTTGGCTCCAGGTTCCAGGTACAAGAAGAAACTAGAGAACATTCACAAGGCGTAGGAATTCCACTAAACGCCTTTGATTGTGCGTCAGCCCTCGTCGATCTATTAGCTGATTTAAAAATTGAAGGAAAGAATGGTACTCTCGATTGCTGAACGGGTGGAG